TTGACGTACGGTTTCACGGAACGGACCAGCTGTACCGTTCGTGATTTCGGAACCGTGTGCTTGAAAAACGACTCGCTAAAACTCCCTAATAATAATAATAATAAGTTTATTCACAAAGAAAGCATACATACAATTTACTCAGTCTCACAAAGCACTTTCATGCTTGTGCGTGAGTACTTACAGTCCAGCATGGGATGAATTTAACAAATCGGAAGTATGTAAAACTAAATTGATACTCTGATTGGAGTCCTATTTATGCGGAACTCAACATAAGTAAAAGAAAACAAATGGTTCATCGCCTTAACAGTATACAAGCACAAACTTTTAGGCCAGTAAGCATGAAACGAAATTACCTATTTTTATACAATATTAATAATGATTTACATAGACTTTGTAATACCACAAATGACACAGAATAATAAACTCTAGCTCTCATGGCCATACAAACAGTCGCGAATAGAACAACAGTGAATGCAGGCGTGCAAAAGGAATGGAACAATACAGTGGGGACGTAAAAAAAAAAAGCAAGGGTCTGGGAGCTTTCTATTCTTCTCCTGGCGTACTACACCATTTACGCATTTCTTTTTTCACCTGCGCTAAGGATTGCAGATTAAGTAAACTATCGGGAAGATTATTAAAATATGTTGGTACACATCGCGACACTGTTAGCGCGAACACGATATCGGCGCATTTTCGCATTTTACTTCTAAATAGCATTAGCGAGAACGAAATTTCATCGCTTAAATTATAGAACTAAATGAGCTCTTTCCGTAGCAATAATAACTTGAATGACATCTCTTGGTTTCAAAGAGAAAAACTGGAAAAACCGGCGATCGCTTGTTCGCGCTAACAGTGTCGCGCTCTGTACATAATACTTCCTCAACATTTTCCCATAATTAGTGTATATTCTGTGTATGTGAAATCTTTCTTTGTGCCTTAGTTGTTTTTCTTTGGCGGATGGTATTTTGAAATCGTGTGTGAAATAATATTTTGTGAGGACCATGAATTTATGCAGGTCATCCACTGTTAACAATTGGAGTTCTGACAGCTGTTCTTGAAACGAAAGATTTTCTAAGCGTGTACCATACGTCATGTTTTGTATCATTTTTTTAATTAGGTTATTTATTTTCTGTAGTTTGTATTTGGATGAAAGTGAATATATGTGGATACCATATCTTAGTTTTGATTCACCTAACATCTGGTAAATCAATCGCCTTAGATTAATACTTGCAGAACTTTGGAGTTTATAGAGATATGAAGAAATTATTCGCAGATGTTTAAGTAGGTAGTCAATATGATGATTCCAAGATAAATACTCGTTAAAGTATATACCAAGGTACCTAGTCTCACTGGCGTAAGGTAGTGGTGAGCAAGAGCATTGTCTACATTCCCACGAATGCAAAAAGATGGGTTGATTAAGGTTAATGAGTTTCTGCTGAGTTCGAAAGCACACGAGGTTCGATTTATCATTGTTCACAAAAATATAGTTTTTTGAAAGCCAACTCATAATTTGTTTGGTGTCGTCCTGTAAAATTGAAACGGCAGTATTATAATCTTCGTGTGTGATAACCAAGGCTGTGTCATCAGCGTATTGATACATTTTTGATTTTAAAGAAAGCAAAGATAGGTCGTTCACATAGATATTAAACAGCACGGGACCCAAGACCGAACCCTGAGGCACACCAGAGTTCAGGTGCGCAGCAGAACATGTGCTATTCCCTATTCGAACTCGTTGGGTTCTTTCAGTGAAGTAACCTTTAAAAAATGTACGGAAATGCCCTCTGAAACCAATTTTATCTAGTTTCTCAACTAAAAGTGAGTGATCTATTGTATCAAAGGCTTTTGTCGGGTCTAAAAAGAGCCTAAGTACTATTTTGTTATTATCAGTTTGTTCATTAATGAAGTCTGTTATCTCCTCCAGTAGAAGTGTCGTGCCTCTTTGTTGCCGGAATCCATACTGGCAGTTGCATATTAGTGAGAATTTGTCACAAAACGATGTCATGACTTGTAAAACAAATTTTTCCATTATCTGAGAAATTGCCGGCAACAACGCGATGGGCCTGTAATTAGCAATATCGTTCTTGTTTCCTTTCTTATAAATTGGCCGTACTATTGAAACTTTTAACTTACTGGGTATATTTCCTGTAGCTAACTTTCCATTTATTATAGCAAGTAGAACGCGTTTTAAGTAGCCTGTTATATTTTGTATCTCTAAATCTTATTTCATCAAATCCCGCTGGCTTTGTTATAGACATACTCTTAACTATGTATTCTAGATCTGATTCTGTCATTTGGGGCAAGTATGCCGAAAGAGTTGAATTCCCTAATGGCTCAGCCGTTCCTACCGTGTTGTTTACTTGGTTACGCAAGTCCTGTATCTTTGTGATACATCATAACACCATGAAGGTGTTATTAAACTCATTGCTAAGCTTATCAAAGTCAGTTGTACCGAAAGTTTTTTGTATACATGCATCTATTTTATCTTTAGGGGGTCTGTCAATTATTTGATTTACGATATTCCATGTTCCTCTTAAGTTCTTCCCGCACTGCTGGAGTTGCGTCATATGAAATCTCTTTTTAGCAAGTCTAATTTTCGCAGTGAGGTTGTTCCGTAGTCGTCTAAATTCTTCTTTTAATTTTATGTCATGCGGATTTTGCTTACATCTATTCCATAATCTGTTTTTTTCAACACTCATTTCTAGTATTTCTTTGTCGATCCAATTATTTCCAGGTTTTCTCGGCTTTAGCCTTATTGTTCTAGTAGAGTGTTTGTGTATATTTTTAAATTTTTCAACTAACGTATCATAGAGAGTGATGTGATCCAAATGAAGCAAAGCAATCCAGTTATATCTTTGAATGGTGTCATCTACTTTCTTATTGTCAATGATTTCTTTACGTTCATTTTTTCCCCTCATGGCCGTATGCTCTTCGTTTATTATCCTAAGCGCAACGAAATAATGATCTGCTACCTTTTGTTTATTAGTTCCCCCTAGAAATTTTAAGTAATTCAACCTTACTATCACGTGATCAATGCACGATCTGGTAATTGTATGCCCTAGGTACTCTTCCCTTGTGTGGTCGTTAATTAAATTATACAAACCGTAGTTAAACAATATGTCGAGATATTCCGAAACTCCCGTTTTCTTACTGCACATGGTATCTATATTAAAGTCACCTGCTAATACGAGTTGATCATTGTTATTGCACTGTTTATCAAGGACAACTGCCTTTGCTAAAATGAAGTCAATTTCCTTTTTAACCTATCACCTAGTTTAAGGTATGAGTAACTGTACGCTATTTACTGAACGCCTCCATAGAGCGTCGATCACTCATGATCAATGGGCGCGGAGGCCTTTCTCGAAACTCCCAGGGAGCTCCCGTGCTCGCTGCACCCACTCATAGGTAGTCGAAGACCACAGTTTTGGTTTCTGTGTATCTCTTTCTCTTTGCGCACGGCACTGATTTTTAAACCGAGCGTTAAACCAGTGGTGCATTATCGTTGTTGACGCGGGTCCTGGTCTGGCGTGTACTCGCAAGCGTGGAAATCCTTCCGAATGCTCCGTCAATATTTTGGACTCGGAAAGCAGCGTAGCTACGATGAAGTTCGTTCAGCATATTTCAGTTCTGATGACCTACCCAATGGCATGGCAGTCATGAGGGTTGGTTGATATTCAGTAGCTCGAAAGCTTTTTTAGCTAGACCTCTAGGTTTTGCAGAACCTTTTATTGTTAAAATAAGAGACATTTAGTATCGTTCAATGTTTTTGTTTTGTTTTTTCTTTCACTTTTCTTAGATATTGCCATTTCTACTTGGTTTTAACCATCTTTTTTAAGAGAAGAAATTGTGTTTCACGATTTAAATTTTACGTTAAAGCTCAAATCTCTGCATTCACATTTGCAGAGTTGGATAAAGTAAATCTAAAAAGTACTTGAGTACAATGTAAATGAAAGACTATGTAATTCAAGTAAAGTAGTAAGTACACCGGGCACAATGTATTTGAAGTAGAGTGCTACTATAGATACAATGTACTTTCAAGTAAAGTACAAGTACTTTTAACCCAATCTGTTACGGTTCCCTTTCATTCCCCTATACAATGTTTTCGAGGAAAGTTGTACTTTCTTCAAAAAGTACCTGAAAAAAAATACTTTAAATAAACTACATGTACTTACTCAGATAATGTACTTCAAGTACAAGTTTTCTAAACCTACTTGAAGTAGTTTTTAAGTAGAATGTACAGTCGGCGGCAAAAGTTTGCAGGGCGCGGAAGCGTGAGCCGAAATGACTGGTTGCGCCTTCTGACGGCGCGCGGCCGCTCTCAAGATTCACGCTTCGAGAATGTGCTTCCTTTCGTGCTCGAAGCCATGTCTCCTTTACTCGCTTCCGCCCGACGTGCACGAGATAACCCAGACAGGCGCAAGGTGCCGCTATGACAGCCATCATGCCGCACGTCTCCCTCAGCCGCAGTGATGGGTGTAGGAGCTCGCGCATGCTCTAGATAACGTTTCGCGGCAACTTGCGCCAGTCCCTGTTATCTCGTGCGTGTCGAACGGAAGCGAGCGAAAAAACCATGACAGCGAACAAGAAAGGAAGCGCACGCGCAAAGCGTGAGTCTTGAGAGCAGCAACGCGCCGCGGGAAGGCGCAGCCAGTCTTTTCGGCTGCCGCTCCCGTGCCCGCAAACTTTTGCTCTCGGCTGTACTTGAAGTACTTCCCAACACTGCATTTGCATCATTTAAAAGCACACTTACTTAGAGTCATTCCTATGCATGTCAGCATATTGCAAACCTAATAGTTTCCTCGGGAAAGTAACAAAAAGTCACAGAAAACAGCAATTTTTGCATGGTAATTTTTTTATTTTTTCTGGCCCGGGGGGGGGGGGGGGGGGGGGGGGCTTTACTGATAAGGTAGTTCTTGGTGACTCAGCTAGACGGCTGGAATCTGAACGATGGGTTGGAGTGTGAGATACTATTGCTGTGAATGAGAATTAAAGGAATGGCTCAAAAGGCTTTGTTGTTGATAGCTATAGCTAGAAGTTTATTTCACTCTTCTGCATGACCGAAGTAACATAGCACAAAAGTGAGAAAGCACTGTGATCTTCTCACAAGCAAGTTTGGGATCTATGAGGCGATCCATACTTTAATGATTCCAGAATTGGCTATTAGTTCCAGTAATGGCACACAATCAACCAACTAAAAATACCACTTACTTCCTAAAGCAAGTCTTACGCTTGGGAAGCATGTAACCTAATCCTAGTGCACAAAGAAAAAATAGCAAAAAATAAAACCATTAGCTAAAATATGGCAGTCTCATTTCAGGGGACTACAGCAATTTAAGCAGTGTGTGAGTAAGACCATTTTTAATATCTGTACCACTGATGATGAAGCACCAAAAAGCAACGAGATCTTAGAATACAAGGAATTGGCCATTTTGAAGTACAAATGGGCCTGCGAAGTCATCGACGGCGTTGCAGGTAGGCATTACATTCTTCACCATGTAAATTTTGCCAAACAGAGCTTTTACTGATACAGCCTGCAAACATTCTACACAGGTCCAGAATGTCAACATGAAACTCTTCAGTATTTTTTGAGACAGTGTTCAGGATTCTTGGGCACAGTTGTGGAACCAGTTAGCCAGGATTTTGTCCTTGCGCCTGAGAAACTTGCATTGGCCTGCCAGTAAGTGAATGCCTGTTATTCACCACTTTCCTGCTATGCTTCTTTGTCCTCGAAAAGCTTCCGACAGCCCCATCAGGTTCTCCCCAACAACTTTCCAAACTTATTCTGTCCTGTCATTTAACACCTGAGACTATGGTAAAGAAAATGAAAAACATTTAGTTGAAGGAACAAACACAGAAAGGAATGTCTGTTCCTTCAACTAAAAGACACAGAAGGGAACGCCGGTTCCTTCGAATAAAATTTCCACCAGCTTGCCTGCACACTCAGTCTTTTCATTATTCTGTACACATGCAATTCTGCTCATGTTGTGCAAAATTGTTTACTATGTGGTTAACCAAACTCTACATCCTAATACAATGGTAATGATCTTAGAGTGAACACAATCGTATAAGGGTACACCGAGCTGCTGAAGGTTCAAGAGCCTCTGACATAATAATGATTACCCTTTTCATGGAGAGCACTAGGTAATAGGGTCAGGACATCTAAAATTAATTAAAATAGCGTGTTTGCTGAAAAAAACAAACAAAATCAAACTGAAACTAAAAGACCAGTCACAAGGAATGTGACATCAGACTCCAAAAGTCACTTGGGTTGTTCACCCTTCTGTGACAGTGCATTTTTTTTTAAAGATTTGACCAAGTAACTTATTACTATTTGTCTAATATTAGGTGTTTTGAGTCGCCATCACACAAAACTGAGGAAACGAGATTGAGGGAATTCCTAATCAGCTAGTTCTCAACAGTTCGTTTTGCTAAAACAAATCTTAATTTTAAATTCCATTTTTCTTTTTGCTTTTCTAAGCATAGTGTTTCCATAAAAATGTAAGCATCCATAAATGCCTTGTCAGAAGGCCTGTAATAGACAAAACATGAAACAGAAAAATGACAAGATACAACACCCACATAAGAGACAACTGGGCCAAGCTTCCTCTTGTGCCTCTAAAGTGGGAAGAGGTTGCCTTCTATTTCTATTCGACTTTCTCTTAAAGGGCAACTCCGCTTCATTTTTTTGTTTTAAAAAACAATTCGGTCCTCTTCAGTATCACCTAGGAAGACCATATAGAAAATATTACGACTTACGATGTAGTTCTGTCTAAATGTTTCTTAAACGGTCCGGCAAACTTTGCAACTGTCCAAGTTGCCAAAATCTGCTGACTTGAGTGGGCGAATTGAGGTGCCGCAGTCAAGGCTACAGCATGGGCGTAGCCAACATTGAGCTAAAAGTCGTAACCATTGCCCCTTTTGCTTGTTTTTACTTCTCCGGGCAAGCGTAACTGGTGACGTCAGCAACGTTTCCTCTCGGTGCTCAGCGGTGTCCACGTCATTAGCGTAACGTGCCTACGCAGCGCGCTTTTTGGGAGCCGTCCGGCCGCCCCGCCGTGATCCCGCTGTTACTGCTGTCTCCCACGTCACAACCGCCATCTTCGTCTCATCGTTTGTGATCAGTGTCTCAGAGTTTCGTCCACACTACGGACAATATTTGCGCAGACTTATGCCGCAGTTGTGCAGACGTCGTTGAATGCCGTATTAGACACCAAAACGTGGTGAACAGTGCGGTGCAGACGACATTTGCACCTGGCACACGCCCGCCCGAATCCCGCCCGTCGTTGCATAGAGGATCACGTGACACCTCGTACCACGTGATAGCCATGTTCTTAGAAACCGAAGGCCAATGTTGCCGGACGGAGCCGTAGTTTCGGTTTCGATTTCTGCTCGTGTTTAAAATTTGATTTAAAAATAAATATTCCATTTTTCGTGAAGCAAATTACGTAGTCTCTTTTACTAGAGCCTTTTAATGTGAAATCACTCGTCATCCCGAAATCTTCGGAATTGAGCAAAGTTGCCCTTTAAAGGGCAACTCCGCTTCATTTTTGGTTTTGAAAAAACAATGCAGCCCTCTTCAGTATCGCCTAGGGAGACCACACGTGAAATGTTACGACGCAGTTCTGTCTAAATGTTTCTTAAACGGTCCGGCAAACTTTGCAACTCGCCAAGTTGCCGAAATCTGCTGACTTGAGCGGGCGAATTCAAGCGCAACCAACAGCGCAGTCAAGGCTACGGCATGGGCGGAGCCAACATTGAGCTAAACGTCATTATCATCGCCCCCTTTTGCTTGTTTTTCATTTCTCCGGGCGAGCGTAGCGCATGACGTCAGCAACGTTGCCTCTCGGCGCTCAGCGGTGTCCACGTGATTGGTGTAACGCGCCTGCGCAGCGCGTTTCTTGGGAGCCATCCGGCCGCCCGCCGTGGTCCCGCCGTTTTCCGCGTCACAACCGTCGTTGTCGTCTCACCGATTGTGATTATTGTCTCTCGGAGTTTCGTCCACACTACGGACACCACGTGCGCAGACTTATGCCGCAGTTGTGCAGACGTCGTCGAATGGCGTAGACACCAAAACGTGGCGAAGAGTGCGGTGCAGACGACACTCGCGCCTGCCACATGCCCGCCCCAATCCCGCCCGTCGTTGGGCCGAGGATCACGTGACATCTCGTACCACGTGATGGCCATGTACTTGGCGACCCGAGGCCAATGTTGCCGGGCGGAGCCGAAGTTTCGGTTTCGATTTCCGCTCGTGTTTAAAATTAGATTTAAAAATATATATCCTATTTTTCGCGAAGCAAACGACGTAGTGTGTTTTACTAGGGCTTTTTAATTTGAAATGAATCATTATCCCGAAATCTTCGGAATTGAGCGGAGTTGCCCTTTAAAGGAGCTGTGCAACAATTCTAGTGCTTTGCTTAAATAATTAGGTAGTTGGTGTCTCGACCTTTATGAAGTGAAGAGAAAAAAAAAATTTTTTGCCTCCATGTTTTAGGTTTTATTTTAGAAATGGAAAAGGATTGAGGTTTTCGGCACCTCTCAACTCCTTCACTATCTTCCGAGTCACGTGCGCTGTGACGTCAATGGGGGACGCGCGGGGTTCCGGTGAAGCTCTCTCTCTAGAGCCATCAGTGAGCAGTGAAAACTCACCCGCTCGAAATCACGTGACCACATGCTTGAGCAGCGCGATCAACATGGCAAAAGGAGGAAAGTCTCATCCAGGTCCGGCCATCCCCGTCCGGCTCTGCCCCAGTCACCCTCCGGCTTCTGGCGACTGTTCGTGATAGCAGATAAAGCTGACGGTTTTGTTGACCTCGGATAGATGGCGCCACTAAAACTCCGTATAATAAAACTTTTGTCGGTGATACCAGGCTTTTGACGCATTTATATTTTTGTTGGAACGACAAGATTTATAGGAAAATTATCTTTTATCGAGCAGGTATTTGCGCAACCTCCTATCGTTTTACAAGTCCCCCATTGACGTCATGCCCCGTGGTTCTCGTGGCCGCCGCTCAAGGCTGCAGGTCGGGAAATATAACTTTTGCCTCGCGATTTCGCGGCAGAATTGCAACATTTAGAAGGAAGGATATGTTTTCTGTCCTTTGTGATAAGATAAACAATATCAAAAGTAGATGATGCAAATTCTTTCAACGTTAATATCGTTGCACAGCTCTTTTTAATGTTTTCTATACTACCCTGAAAAGTGTAATAATGAATGTGGTGGTTAAACGAACATGTTTCTTGTCCAATAAATTTCAATTGCATCTAAATTTTATTGTGCAAGTGTGCTGTGCCATTTCTGTTGACGGTGTTGGGTTTCGTTTAATATGACTTCCTTTATGGTCTGATGCCACCACCTTCTTTGTGCTCTATTTTGTGTATGTCACATTCTGTTTAGTCCACAGTACTGTTACCTGACAAGGGTGATCTGTCCAAAATTCTCACATGCAAGAAACACAGATATCCAATACTGTGTTTTATGTTCTGATTCAAGGTTTACAAGGTACTACCAGCAGTGTGTTCAGTCCTTTGCGAAGAAAGCGCAGTGCAAAAGGAGCTTCATGCTACCAGAGATTACAAAATATACGCAAGATTTGTACCACAAATATTCATGGACATGCAAAACAGCAGGTAACACTATAGCACAGAAGACAATAATGTATATATATGCGTGCAAGATAGCTGTAGCTTCAAGTGCATTTTGAGCAAAAATGGGGCTTCACCACTAACTAAGGAACCAAACAGTAAAGTCAATGTGCATGGCAAGGTCACTTGCTTTGAGGAAACACTTCTCCCGTTATGTGCAGTTGTACTGCAGAGAAGCGGCGAAAACAGTAGCCAACAGATTGAATCACACTCCAAACGGATAAGATAAATGATGTCCAACAAAATAGGGCTTGTGAGATATTTCTGTGTTCATTCTTTTTTGTTTCTCATCTCATGACTTCTAGCGTAAGATTTACTCACGAGATTTACATTATAAAAATCAAAATATAATTCTAAAAATTATATGCAGTGTTCTCAACAATACTACCTTACAAGCACTCTAATACGAGCTGGAAAACGAATGCTGTTTATTCGTTCTTCTGTCCCTTCAGTCTCTTGCCTGTAACGAACCTATACAAGCTCATGTGCCTTACAGCAGCTACAGAAATAAAAATTCTGACATTTGTTTTTTTCTTTCTGGTGAAAATTTTAGTCACTGTATTATCTAAGCTCATGCATACACTTCCATGTAAAATGTTTTATTAATAAATTGACTCACAGGGCAATGTGAAAAGGCTGACTTAATAAAGCGTCTCAAGTACTGCAAGGGCATAATCACCTTCAATGTGCACCCTTACATGAATGACAAGAACCAAACCAAGCTTTCAAGGGCCTGCCAGTGAGATATACTACTTTTATTCATACTTTTTTAGCAATGCAACATATTCCAAATTGAGAAAAAGAAAAAGAACAAAAAGAAACAACACTATTTACAGGGGTTCTAAAGCCTTCTGCTTGGGGTGAAACCCCCCACCACCTAGAAAGGCAGCAATTTTTGCAAAAACACTTCACCCTTCAGAGGGAAAATTACAGAGTGCCAGAAACTTCTTTTGTACATTGCCATTAAATTTCTTGGGCAGTAGCATGCTTGGCTAACGCTTGCTTTTCCAGCGGTCTACAAGAGTACCAGCTTTGTGTGGAATCGACATTGAAAATGCACTGTGGCAATACCAATGTTCTTATGTCTCATGAAGTACGCCACTATACGTCCAATATTTACGAGCATTACAAATGGGTCTGCCATTCAGTTGTAACTGGTACGTCCAGTCATTGTCCAATCGGACAATTTGAGCAATTTTTACCTTATACTCACGAGGCTCCGCTTTCACATAGCTTCCAAGTGCACCAAAGGATACATTATTGCCAACCTTGAGGAGTGCCTGGGATTTCTCGAACACATGGTTTTACCCGTTGTCCACGCAAAGCATAAGGACGACTTTACACTTCAATCAGCTTGCAGGTAAGAGTGTAACATCATTATAAAAGTTTGTGCCTCCTATGAGTAGCAGCAAAGGATGTCTGTAATAAATCCAGAAAATATTTTGAACAGTGGGGTTGAATATTATCAGCGGTGCATTAGAGGCAAATCAAAAATTTGCATCAATGAAACGGGGCACTACAAAACGGAGGAAGCCCGGCACCTGACTGAAACATTGTTTAGCAAATACAACTGGACCTGTTCAACTAGTGAGTTCTAAAGCACTTTGTAGTTTGGTCACACATTCAATGTGCTATTGATATTTATTTTGTTTTTTTAGAAGCAGAAGTATTTAGATGTGAAAACAAGGAGCTTGCACAAAATCTCAGCGAGTGTGCTGGCTTCATCAAAATGCAAGTCGAACCATTTTCAGAAGATTTTTCAAACAAACACAATGTTAGACTTGCATGCAGGTAAGGTATATGCAGTCCTTGAGGGAATTTTGCTTTTAACAGAACAACTAAATTTTACAGTGCACTGCAAGACTATGAACGGTGTGTGAAAGCCAGGCTTCGAGCAACATGTAAAGGAAATTCATCACTGGAGGTGCCTGAAGCCCGTGACTACACAGTGGAAATTCCAGGAAAGTACAAATGGGTTTGTGAATCAACTCTCGCAAAAAGTGAGTTACTATTGGTGAAATTTCCTTTATACACTGCATTCATGATAACTAGAAGTGTATCATGAATGCACCAGCACAAAGGCAGATTTTCCCCCTAAAACCAGCCGACTAATTTCGCACCGTAGGGACATACTGTGATGAGGGCGACCTCAAAGACAGCCTTTCAGAATGTATCGGTTTTGTGCGGTCGATTGTCATGCCCAACTCCGCACAACCAAACGTAAACACGCGACTAAGAACAGCTTGCCGGTGAGTACAGCTACATTTACCAGAAAATGCTAGAGGCAGTTATATGGTGAATATTGAATAGTGATGCAGGGCAAAGGGAAATTATTTTGAATGTGATATATGCTAACATTACTTTCTTTTTGTATTTAAAGGGGCATTCGAGAGTACCAAGCCTGTATTCAGACAAGAATAAATGCCAAATGTGAAAACAATGAAATGATTCCCGAAGATCCTACATTAAAAAAATACATGTTTGACATCCCAGTCAAGTACATGTGGACTTGTGAAGACACAGAGTATCATAGTAAGCATAATTTGTTGTCACACATCCAGACATTACTCGCACAGAAAATTTGGAGTAAAACCTTCTCACTACTACATCTGTCTGATTGTTCTTATTGCAGCCAGGTGCTCAGCAAATGTCTTTTTGAAAAGACTTCATGAGTGTGTTGGTTTCATAACAGAGTTGGTGGTGCCATTGTCAAGTCTGAATGATAGTTCCAAGCTGGATTCTGCATGCGGGTTAGCATTGTAGTTTCTTTTGAACTTGTAAATATGATCTAGTCTAAACAATGTATATCTACCCTAGTAAAATAAGCTTATGGCAGAAAGCTGCAGTAGACATAAATCTCTTGGCCAGTACAAAGATTTCATTTGTGACATTTTTCACACTTCTGTTTACAGAGCCCTGGAAGCTTATGCAAGCTGTGTTCTTTTGGAAATTAAGCGATGTGATGGAAGTCCAGAGCATCTTGGACTTAGTTCCACAAAAGTATATACAGATGGACTTTACGAAAAGCACAAGTGGGTGTGCGAGGCTAGGATGAAAGAAGGTAATTCATAAGTTATACAGAGCATTGAATTAGACAAAACACAAAACAGGCATTCAACAAACTAGGAACAGCATAACTTTAAAATTATACAGCTTTCAGTAGTTTTTTTTTTATTTATACATGAACTGTGATCCTATCCCATTTAATTAACTAGTCAGAATGCTTTGTTATTTTATTAACAGCATCACAGTGCCATGATCAAGTGCTTCCCCTCTTCAAAGAGTGTGCTGGCTTCATTAACCAAAGAACTATTCCAAACATCCGGATGACTGATGATGCCAACAAAATGAAACTAGCCTGCAGGTAAGACATACTTGTCAGCTTTTTCTATAGACCCCTTTCGAAAGTCCCGTGCCGATTATTAGAAGGTCAGAACCACTGCACAATGGCAGAACAACTGACCATTGTGGAACGTGCAAATCATTTAATTAGATAGCGAACATGGTAGCATAGCCAACGATAGGGGCCGAGGAGTCCAAAAAAACAGTGTCAGAAGTGCAACGTCATTGTGCTCATCACCTTTTTTTGGGTGAGTTTTTGCCTTCTAATCAAACCAAATGCAAAAAATGTGCCGTGACGTTGCAGTTGAAGTCCGCCATTGTGCAGGGAATCCACAACTGCCAACAGAGGGCAGCATTTAGAAAGGGGTCTATTTATTCATGAGAGTGAAATCGTGGAAGCTTTATTTCTTATTTGCTTCATTATGCAATACTTGGTTAATTCAATGCTATCAAACTCATGTGAAGATCCCTTTTTTTTTTCAGTGGTGTTAATGCATATCAGAAATGTATAAAATCTTCAGCAGAAAAAGCTTGTGAAGATAACCATGAAATTGATGAGATGGATGAATTCAAATATTACACTCAAGTGCTTTACACTAAGTACCAATGGATTTGTCGTCTAGGTATGCTGGTCTGAAATTCTGTCTTTCGCTTTGTGCCTTGTGAAGCAAATATTTATTGCAGGGTCTGAGAGCTATTTCTGCTTACAGACACCCCAAAATGTGATGCAACTGAAGTTCTCATGAAACTAGATACATGTAGAGGATTCATCAATCTGAATGTGAATCCATATCTTCAAGATAACAAAGGGCTCAGCATATTCACACAGACGGCTTGTGCTGGTGTGAATGATTTCAGGGAATGTGTACGAAACCAGCTAGATGATAGGTGCACCCAGTTAAACTCCATCCAGGGCATTCAGCAGTACGTGTCGGACATACCTGCCAGATACACACACGTTTGTGAGGTGACACAGACACGTAAGCCGGAACCCTTTAATTTGGCTCTCTCCTGTAAAGATCTTTTTGGTCTCTGAAAATATGATGCTTATGTACCCGCAAGCCAAGTTAGCCTGCTCAGTGCTAGTTATGAGAACATTATTAAAAGAGAAAGAAGCAAAACGGAAAGGAAAAAGAAGCAACAATACATGTGCCCAACTAGATAAAAGCATGCAATGATTAAACCTCTTTCAGTGATTCTGGGGCAATGTGCCAGCAGAGGCAATTTGGGATTGTGGTCAAAGCACTTGCAATCTGGTGGCCATTTGCTGTGCATGTGCCACACAATTGAGATTTTAGTTGCACATACTAAGGTTAACTAAATTTATCCTCAGTTCATCACGGGTGCAATCCACATCTTTTTTTTGTTGGCTTGAGATGTAAACACCTTAAAAAATAATGAAAAAAAATTGACCGCATCTCCACGTGGTGAATGATGTTGATTGGGGCGAAGCTCTGATGGTGCTTGTCTGCGTAGAGGCTGAGCCGCAGCATGCCGAACTTTTCGTTCGTTTTCATCCACGTCAGAAAGAGAATGTGTGGTATGGAACGTGGTTATATACACATCTGAGCATTTGACCGCAGCGCCCTCTCGTCTATAAACGTTGAGCCAATGCATGCAAAGTTTAACGCCATTATATACGCATTTGACTGCAGCGCCCTCTCCTGTATAGATGTTGAGCGGCTACATGCAACGTTTCATCCATGACAGAAACCCAAGCTGTTGAGTTACTACCACATCTCAAAGCCCCTTACTCGTTCCGCAGTCGTGGCCGAGTGGTTGAGGCGATGGACTAGAAATTCATTGGGGTCTTCCCGCACAGGTTTGAATCCCCTCAACTGCGCAAACTTTTTTTTTTTTGCTTTACACGAGCATGTGAGCTCACGAGCACGAGCACCGGCACCAGCAAGATCGATGTGAGCACGGACGCCGGACGGACAAGGCTAGACCCTAAGGAGCTTCGCCCCTAAAAACACTTCATGTAAATGGGTGCATAAATGAGCAGAGAAAAATTTTCATACCGTAAAATATTTTGGGGGGGGTGGGGGGGGGAGGGGGGGGTGCCCGCCCCACTTTCACTGAAAACTAGGTTAATCTAGACACGGGTGCTTGTCTGGCCAAATTGGGCGCTTAACATATAATTTTCAGAATTCCCATGTCTGGGGAATGTTAACAGTGGGTGCTTCCACGGTATTTTACAGTAGTTAAACTTTATGCTTTTATATTTAAAACAATGATTATTTCCTTCCAACAAAATCACCACTCTCTCTGACCCTTTCAGCAACATCTTGTGGCCCAGAGCAATTGCTGCCAAGGTTTGAGATGTGCTTCAAGATACTGAAGAGGCTCAAGATGTCCGATGATGCACCGACTGAGCTCACTGGCAATTCTTCAACAGTGTGCGAGTAAGAAAATTTTGCTTGCACACCTTTTAGGCCCACCTACTTGAAAGATAGTAGTCAGATTTAGCTCTAAGAAAGTATGCTTACAAACAATAGATAAGAATTTGTGAAAACCTTATTAATGTTTAACTAAACGAAAGTTTCTAACACAGTATACTGAGTATAAACAACAGTATAAACTCATAACAGACTTTGATAGTGATGAAGATTTTGGTCTGTTGCAAAAATGTTGCAAAAGAAGTATACAGAATGCAGATACCCTACTACTGACAGGCATTATGAACTGGTCTCTTCTAACCAGAGAACTGATGAAATGTGAAGAGATATTACAAAATAACTGGTGTATTCAAACCTCTGAACTTTGAAAGGTAATAATATTTTATTGAGCTGTATTGATAATCGTCATCACTGTGCACTTGTGGTCATACGAGGCTCGCAAGGCACTGAGCACAATGACAGCCGTTTGCAAAATGGATGCCACAGCTACCGAGCCAAAGCCGCATAATGTCCGAAATAATAACTGCTGTTGAAGAGTCTGCTATAATGGAATAGTGAACTACTTACATACAGTAGAACCTCATTGATATGTTCCTGGTTTTTACGTTTTCCCGGCTTTTACGTTCAAAACCGCCAGTCCCGCCAAGCTCCCAGCCCTTGGCTGGGAGCTTGGCTGCT